CCACGGTCCGCACCAAATTCCCACTTGTCTCCCGCGGGGTGAGGAAGGGGTCCAGAAACCCCATGACCGCGAAGAACTTCCATCTCCTCCCCGATCCTGCTGCAGACCCACTCCTCTTCTCCTTATTATACGTGTCCCTGAGGCTATTCCACTTTCTCCTGCAGATGTCCTCTGAATAAACACATTATCTTGTTAGCGGAAAGGTATTTCTATATCAGTGGGAAAATAGCGGGACAGTAGGCGGGCTTGCTAGCTTTTGCGCGGCTTCATCGGGTCAGTCTGAAAATTAAAAAGAAGAATGAATGAACTTACCAGGTTGCCCGATCTCCTCACTTATGTGCCTCCAAGCTAGGTCCTTTTTATTCCTGTCTCGGTAGAAGTAGTAGCTAGCATCATATAGCTCTGGATAATTAGCCACGGCTCTGATGAGCTTTTCCTCCATACTGAATGAAGAATGAAGGGCTTTGGCTGGATCTGCCCCTTTGACCCAGGTCAGAGTCACGTCACCAGGCTCCTGATTGGTTGTCGCGGCGCGATTTGACGCTAAAGTTCAGATTTTTCCAAGTCGAGCGGTTGACGCGATATGCGCGTATGCACAAAATGCAACACAAAAACTGACTTGGTGTTTTTTTTTTTCGCGAGTCAAACGCGCCAGACGCGGTACGCTGTCATCGCGCTTTTCCATTGACTTTACATGTAAACCTGACGCTCTGGCCGCCTCTATCGCGTTCGGTGTGAAGACAAACTGCTTTATAAATACATGTAGACCAGTGATATGACTTAATTTGCTTAAAAAAAAGTTTCGCTCTCCTGGTTTATTATACTTACAATAATCATATTTATGCTAGTATTAACTTTGATAATCGTTTGAGGGATACTTTTTACGTTTTTTGCTTTAAATTACTTTTATGGACAAAATCACATTATCCCCACTACTGCTGGGGTGGAAGCTAATGGGACAACACATAAGTAAGAAAAAAAATATCATGTCAGTGTCCTGTAAAATGACTTAATAGCATTACCTGCCCTCTGTGATGTATTGTATCCTGTGCCAGCCCTCCAGGGTTGAGCAGCATGACAGGGTTTTCTCTGTACAGCAGTGAAAGATCCTGGTGTGCAGAAGAAACAGATGTTACAGATGTTGTTCAGTTATAGCACAAACTTCATACTTCTAAAGTGCTTTATTTTAACTTACAGAAGCACAAAATGAATATTGGATATTTGACATGTCTCTGTGTGTTCCATCTCCAAAGTTTCCCTCTTCTTCGTACTGAGGCGTCACACGTTTTGTCTCACTGAATATACGCTGAGCAGCTTATAAATGCACCATTATGGTCCTTTAACCTGCTGGAAGCTTTAACTTTTAGATAAAACGGACTGTAGAGGCATTGTCACATAATATATAGTAAGCAGAGATACAGCCATGAGTTGTAGTGTGAGTAAAATAACTGAACTTTTCATCACCAAACTAAAGTGGCTTACTGCATTTGATTCAAGTGCTCATAATTGGTGTTCAGTAGAAATGAGTTCCACCCACTTCAAACTAGTGAGACTCTCACAGCTGAAGCAGCGATCTGTGTCTATATGTGCAATCTTACCAATGAGATTAAAGCTGACATTTGAACTTTTAGTAGCCTTTTAAACAGAAAGAAAACAGTTATTTAGCCTCTGCTGTTGACCATTCTGGCTTTAAAATATCCACCAGGATCAGAAAGCACAAAAGGTTCTCTGTTCACTGTACTCGCTTGATGTTTGTCTTCCTCACAGGTCCCTGACAGCTATCACTACAGGCGACGTGTTCATCTATACGACACGGCCGCACGGGTTCAAAGTGAACCTCGCGGTGTGGACACATCGGACCTCGGAGTCAAAGAAGATGAGTGGCTCACTGATGAAGCAGCAGCCACGCTGCTGGGCTATGCAGAGGAAGAGGTCATGGGTCACAAGGTATAACATGCTCAAGCACACAAGCAGTTCAGGAAAAAAAGTGGAAAGTCTGAAAACCTTTATATGGTTTATAGTTGATCGGGTATTGCAACTGACTGGTTTCCCTCCCTGCAGATCAGCGAGTCGAAAGCATACGACGGGCTCTACATTGACGTGGGAACGCAGACATATTCGTTTCGCTCAGCTCCTTTCAAAGGGAAGACCACCCTGGCTGAGGTGATGGTGGACAGACCGCTGAAGCTTCACCTGCAGCTGCAAGCGGAGAGTGTGAACAGCAGACACAACAGAGCCAGCTGTGTCTTCACCTTCCTCTGCGGTCACACCTTCCACCGACGAGAGTTCGCCACACATGTCAGGTGTCTGTGCAAAATCTGCCCTCAGCATTAAAGTAATAAGTGTTAAGCTCTCACTGGAAGCAACTGTGGATGAGCGCATTTTTGTCTTTTTATTTTTAGACACAACCTGCAAAAAACAAAAAAAAATGTGTATGAATGGCCCTGGTTGTGTGCTATGAATGTATAAACTGCCATGTTCTTTTTCCAGGAATGTGCACTGTGACATCCACACATGTCTGAGCGGTTGGTTCGAGCAGCGGTGTCCACTCGCGTATCTGGGGTGCACCTATAGTCAGAGGAGGTTTCATCCTTCCACACATAAAGCTACCGTCACATACAAGTGAGCACAACTCATATAAATCCACAAGGATTCATTTGTTAATGAAAATAGTCTCTTAATGTCTTAAACATTGAGCATAGTGAGTGCAGCAAAGGGAAGATTTTATTGCATATGCTCCTCCTTTATTTTAGTTTTAACTCCACCCACTCTCCTTTTTCCCTCCCGTACAGTAAGGAGCTGAGGAGTTTTAACTTGCGTCCAACATTCGAAGGATTAGTAGGTGACAATTCACCCACGAGCTCAGAAGGAAGAGGGGGCTCTTTGGGCTCTCTTCCCTACGAGGTGCTGTGCCACATGGCCAGTTTCCTGGACAGCCTGTCCCTCTTCCAGCTGGCTCTGGTGTCCCGCCTCATGAGGCAGGTGTGCTCCACTCTGCTGAAGGAGAGAGGGATGGTCACCTTCCGCTGGGAGAAGAAAACCTACTCACACGGGAGAACCAAGTGGAGAGCCAAGCTTGTGAGATATAGAAACAAAGCCAGCTAGTTCATCACATACTATGGCAATTATTCCTCCTTTGGTCTTCTCCTGACTCTGTTTTGGTTTCTCTTCAGGTGTGGGAGTTCAGTCATCTCTTCTCCTCAGTGGATTCGTGGCATATGGCTGACATCCCTCCTATATCTGCTCACCTGAAAGTCTGTCCCTACTACGAGGTCTCCCTGCACAGTAAGCCGGTTTCCCTCCCCAGCATGGACGAGAAATGCAGCCAGAAGAGTTCGAGCCTTGTCAACCATTTCACAGGAAACAGATGACAACAATTCCCCTGCTGCACCTGCCCCAAAAAATGCATTTATGGCCAGGTTATTCTGCACAGATATCAAGAGTGTCTTCTATAACCATTATGTTGCAAAACTCTACAGAAAAAAAGTTACCTAAACTTAACAGAGGCTTTTGGCTTACTGGAAAATAACGTATTCTAAGTATTATCATTAATCAGACTTTTAGCTGATGATATTTGTATTGTGTGGGATTAAGACGATTATAACAGAATAAAAACTGTTAATGTTAAATAGAAAATAAGTTCATACTTTCATTTATAAATATACTATATGTTTATTAGAAGTGTTGATCAATCATATTTTAGTCATTTTAAACAAAACAGCTGAACTGGTTCAAGGCTTTTTTGTTTTTATTTGTCAGAAAAGATATTAAAATTAACACCTTTGTGGTTTTTTACAAAGATTATATGCAGAACCGTAGGACCTAAAGCTGGATAAACATGATGAGGTATACCATTGAGATATAAGAAAGAGTTGTTGAAGCTTGGTTAAGAGGAGACACTGAGCAGCCAAAAGAAGAAGATCATTGTGGTTCATCTTGGTCTGTGAAAATGACAACGCACATAATAAATGCTTTCTTTGGACAACTTCTTTAAATGTGTGACTGATTGTGGACTTAAATTTTATTTCAGTTTTTGTATATGTAATATTCATATAACTGCTACCTCCTTTTAATTTCAGAGGCAAACATTGACTTAGCTAAAGCAACAGTTACTGGTTACTTCTCTTTGTCAGACAAAACATCACCTGCCAAAGCAAATGCTGTTTTTTGTTTTGTATTTTAGATCATTTTTGAAAGATTCAGAGTTACACAAAAGGAAAGTATTCTGAATCTGCACGAATGAGAAACTTTACAGTAATTTTAAACAGAATATATATTTTCCATCTTTTTTTGGTCCAAGCTTTTAAAAGAGATATAATTATTTTCATTCAGTTCGGGATGTTGTCCACATCAAAGGAACAGATCAGAAAATAGGGACTTTTTAGGTTCTTTAATTTCTTTCTTTACCAACACTTCACAAAACATATTACAAATTTTAATTTTAATTTCCTTGTCATTGAAAATAAGGTCTTACAAAAAACAAAAGTACACCAGCCCATTCAGTCTCTTGTAGAAGCTCCATACCAGCAATAACTTGAAGTAATCTTTTCCTGTATGACTTCATCCGTCTCTCACATCATTTTTGGAGGAATGTTGACATCTGCTTTTACAGAGGTCCTCCCACCTGCCGATGATCAGTTAATCAGCACCTTTTTTGCTGTTCATATGATGGTGTATTTACCTAATGTATCTAATTTTAAGGTAAATACTAAGAACCATATTTATTTCTAACAAAGAATAAAAAGGGCATACTTTCTTTTTACCATAACTGTAAATTAAATAAGGTAAATTGATTAAATGAGTAAAATAAATAAATTTTACTGGATATGTAAGACAATAAAAACAGAACATAGAAGAAATAATCTAATACAGAAAATGCTGCTGATTGGAATTTTTTGTGAAACAGTTTTTTCTATCCTTGTATGAAGCACGGGTTGCTGTCATATAAGCAAAATACACTTCTGACTCTGTTCACGTTGCAGTAAAGATGAACTGTTGTGGGCTTATTGGTGAATTTTGAGGCATTTAGAGCGGGTTACATTTCAGGAAGCTCCTCCTCCTCCTGGTGCTGCTCCGTGGCACCGACAACCTCACACTCCGTGGTGCTTTTGTTGTGAATACATCACCGCGCTGCACATAGCCAATAACCAGAAGGTTACGAGGAGGTTGTTTCGACTCAGCCTGCAGTAGGATTCATTCATTCGTCTCGTCCCGGAGAAGAAAACAAGCGAGCGCTTTTGCAGACTGATCGCTTTGCACGGGCCTTTTGTTTTCTGCGTTTCTGCTCCATCAAGGACGGGAAATAAAGAGCCAAATCTATACGGAGATCCATGACAGACGCTTTGGAGAGGATATCGCTTCAGTATCACGGTAGGCCACAGCCAGTGATGGAGATAAATGAGAGACTGAGTAAACGTGCAGAAATGAGAAAGCTCATAAAACTGATAATATTAAATAAGAGCAGGCTACTGTCAAATCACCCAAGAAGCAGATGCATAGAAATGCATTAAAAACCCTTAAATGATGTAGAAAAGCATTGTAATATAACACCAGTTATGCTATATTGCATGAAGAAAAATGCATAATTACTAATGGATATCATTGAGTGATATAATCTTATTTTAAGTGTTCGCTTGCAAGTATTACTCAATGCCAGCATTGAAACTGCGACACTAATATAAACAGCTGTGGTAATAAATCTTGCAGCCAATCCAAAGACAAACCAGCCATCAACATCTGTGCACAGGTTCTGCAGGGGTTCGGCCATGGATGCCGGGAGGCTCGAGCAGCAGGTGGCCAGTGTGGAGAGAGGCATCACCTTCCTGAAGCAGGAGCACCTGGCCATGCTGACTGGCCTGCAGCTGGAGATCACACACCTGAAGAGGCGCTGTCACGGTCAGTGTACAGGTGAACTGCTCTTGCCATCTCATTATGTGCTTACTTGTCTTATATTTGTCTGTCTGCCAGCCTGTTGTACTACTTCCTTTCTTGCCTGCAGAGCTGAGCTGTGAGCTGGACTCCAGGTTTCCCGACAGAAACACAGCAGGTGAGAAATTACAAACCCTTGCTGAGCAAGGGAAAAATGATATATGAGAGACGCTGAAACTTTATATCATAGCTGTAGAGATCTAAAAAAGAAAAGATGGGCAGAGGACAACTGAGAATTAACAGGGTTACACTGACAGGGCAATCTTGCTAATATTTATAAAATCTATATTTATTGTACATTTTCACAAAGCAGAGCTACAAGTCGATAATAGATTTTAAATACCGTGATTAAAATCTTGTTTTTCAGTTATCAGCTGGATTAGCTGCTGTCATAGTTAAAAATGAGCCTAGGGAAATAAAAAGTTATGTCTTTAGATCCCAGTGTTGACTTATTTGTAGCAGTAAATGATGATATTGGTTTGTTGTTAGCATTTTGAGTTGCATATTTAAAATGTATCAAATAAAGTTATCAAAATGACGTGAGATTATAAAGTTTTGCGACTCTTCTAAAAAAATAATTAAAGATCCTAGCTCACTGAAATTTAGCCCTTACTTTGTAGATATACCTCTTAGGTAGCACTCTGCTTCCAGTGTGTCTGCCACTATATAGTACTGTAGTATAATACTGACAAATTAGACTCATGTCTCTCTTGATTTGATTCTTGATGTGGTCAAAACAGCTACCTTTAATCTTTAATTTCATTTGGGAGAGGGAGACAAAGTAGAAAGTTTGGGCGATAAGTGGTAGTTCTGCTGATGTAGCATGTTTTTAATAATGCATGGTGTTCCCCAGTCATGATTCTGACATGATGTGTCGCCTTTGACAATGTAGACATTCCCACTAACAACCCCAGTTTGGTTTTCAAATCATAGTCAAGACATTCAGCCTCATAATTCTGGCTGCATGTTTGACCACGCTTCTTGGCAGAATTGGTTTCCTGGCACAGACCCACAAATTTTCAATAGTGTTGAGGCTGGGACTTCAGAAGCTTGATGTTAGCCTGCTTTTCCAGATATCCAAATTCAGATTTGATGTGTTTGTAATCATCATCCTGTGGGAACACTCAATCACTCATTATTCCATTCTAATGTACCGGTATCACAGCAAACAGCCCCAGAGCATGATGCTACCACCACCATGCTTCACATTTGCTACACTGTTCTTAGGTTTGAAAGCCTCACCTTTACTCCTGCGAACACACCTCTATTCATTGTGGCGAAACAGCTCAATCTTTGTCTCGTCTGACCATCACATTTTCCCCAGAAGGCGTTTGGCTCGTCTCTGTGGGCCTCGACCTTGAAGGTGTGCTTCTTTCTTGGTTGAAAACCTCCCAGTCCTTGGTGATATAAAACTCACTTCACTGTGGACAGTGATGCTGGTATTCCAGCAGTTTCCAGTTCATGGGAGGCTTGAGCCTTGCTGGTTCCTGATTATTCTTCGGTGTTGGTTCGATCCCAGGCTGCCTCCTGACTGCATGCCAAATATCCTTGGGCAAGATACTAACCCCATGTTTGCCTACTGGTGGTGGTCAGAGGGCCCGGTGGCGCCAGTGTCCGGCAGCCTCGCCTCTGTCAGTGCACCCCAGGGTGGCTGTGGCTACAATGTAGCTTGCCATCGCCAGTGTGTGAATGTGTGTGAATCGGTGAATGTAGTGTGAAGCGCTTTGGGGTCCTTAGGGACTAGAAAAGCGCTATACAAATGCAGGCCATTTATCATTCTTGAACAACCTAACCAGTTTCCACTAATCTGAGGGTGACAGTGTGGGTTCTCTGAAAAAGCTGTACTTACAGTTGGTTGAACTGATGTTGGAATGTGCAGATGTTTAGAACTGGCTCCAAGAGGCATTCCTGACATGTGTAAATCTGTAATTCACCTTCTTAGATCGATCTTAATCGAGTCCTTGGACTCAACTGAGGTGCTGAGTGCTGTCAAACAAATCCTTTTTATGTTGGCAAAGAGAAACTAAGAGTTACAGTTACTACACAGTGCTGGAAATGGTCCCTAATGCACAATAATGCATGCAGGTGGAGATCTGCCAAACTGAAGGTTTTGGAACTTTGTGATTGTACCCTGTACCGTAAGCTCTGATGCAAAATGTGATCTAAATAATAGATTTTTTTTTAAATTATTGGGCCAGGTTTCACTCACTGATAAGCAAAAGTAGACAGAAAGACACAGTGAAAAGTGAAATTCATGCAGAATAAGATAAGAATGAATGGTTAAGTAGATGAATCAACAGAAAAACAGACCAAAGTCTGGCACTAGAAGGTAAACAGTGAACCCCTCATAATTTGTAGTGTATCTCATAGCTTTAGTATCCACTGAACCTGCATTTCTGTGTGTTTGTGTTTTCATATATGCTTCACAGAGGAGGAGGCAGAGCTGGCGGCACGTTGTGATGCTGCAGAGCGACTTCTACAGGACCAGCACTGCATGATGGTCGCTGCACGGGGGGAACTGCGGGCCAGCCGGGCACGGGCATCGGCACTCGGGAGGAGCCTCAGAGAAGAAGAGCGACGTTTCTTAGAGGAGCTGAAACGTCGAAGCCACAAGATCACACTGCTGAGTCGTGAGCTTCAGCGGCAAAATGTCACGACCACGACCCTCTGTCACGAGCTGCACACTGCGCGGTTAAAACTGTTCCAGCAGCAGCAGAGCAGTGGGTCTGCTCCTGAGGGAGAGGAGGAGGCCAGAGGAAAGGAGCAGGAGGAGGAGGAAGAGGAAGAAGAGGAGGATGAAGATGATGAAGATGGTGAAGGGGAGAGCTCAGACTGGCTACTGTCTCCACCTCCTCCTGTCTCTCCCAGCCAATCAGAGGCAAGGCAGAGGATGCGCATCAGCGTAAGAGAGGAGAGGGTCAGGGCTTGCGTCCCACAGGAGAGAGTGACATCACCACAGCAGCCACACCCCATGCCTGACCCCGCCCTCTTCCTGGTGCCACTTAGGTACCGCCTCCTCCGCATGCACCAGCCAGTCAGATCACAGGATGGAGAAGGGCTGGAGGACGAATGGGAGGATATTGATGACAGCAGGGTGCCCAGGAGGGTGGACATGGGAGCAGGGGAGGGAGAAACTGCTCTGTGATGAAGACAGGGAGGTGGCGTTGTCTTCCAACAGGTCTCAGCTAACGTCTGATGCAGTTATACTAGAAAAAGATCCAGATGAGAGCGATGTAACCTTGTGATTGTGTGTAGATTTTGGGAGGTTAGAGTTAAGTTGTGCAGGAGTGCGTGATCCAACCTACACGTAGACGTTATTAGGTGAATTTGTTACATTGATGGTGCAGCTTATAGTCTGAAAGTGTGAAGAAACAGGGCAAAAAAAGCAAAGAAGATTAATGGCTTCATATGGATGCCTTTTGATTTAAACACTGTTGATCACAGCTTTTTTCCTATAATTAGTAGCCTTGCCTCTGGGTTCATGAACGCCGACACCGTGCCGATAAAGTGGCTGTCTGCTTTCTCACTGCACAAGCTGTACTGCAGGTTTGGAGAGTCACTCTGAAAGGCTTAGGGACATTTTGTAATCATTCGCACTTTATTAAATCCATGCAATGTGCCTGTTAATGGCCGAAAATTATGTGGTCATGTTTTTTGTTCTATAGTTGACTTCTTAGGCTGCCTCTAATAACATTAGCGAGTTCTCTGCCCTAGTTAAGTCTCCCACTAAGCTGTAATAATTTATTTTATATTCATTACATGTTTCCTTAGAAGATTCTTTAAGGACACAAAGGTAGGGGGAAAGTGCATCATCCAAATCTTTATTCCAGGCTTAGGTCATACATAAGTAGGCAAAAGAAATGCTGATAAAATAGATAGAAAGGTCAAACGCAAACACAGAAAACACAAGGATCTTAAAATTGAGGTGAATAGCTCGATCTATTCCAATAATGACCTGGCATTACTCACTTTAGTGAAAGTGATTAAGTTATTGGATGTAGAAACAGCAAAAAATTGGCAAATGGGTTGGTGTTCAAATAGCACCCTTCTTCTCAGTTGAACATTCAAAACACTTCCTAGTACTACGTCTCATTCACCCAATCACACACACATTCATACAGTGTATGGTGCATTCATATTATGTATGCATAGGTACTTTGTGACATTCCAGTAGATGCATCAGAAGCAACTTGTAGGTCTAGTATCTTCCCTAAGGATTCTTTGGCATGGAGGAGTCAAGAATCGATCCAACAACCTTTTGAGTAGTAGATGACTCACTCCATATCCTCACAGATGCCCAAAATGGAAGCAAAACTAACCCGGGTGTAAAAATAAATTATAAAACAGTAACCCCACTCCACTCCCATATTTCATATTCATATTTGGGGCATATTTGGGCAACACGGTCGTTAGCATTGTTGTCGCACAGCAAGAAGGTCCTGAGTTCAATTCCACCATCAGGCTGGAGTCTCTCTGTGTGGAGTTTGCATGTTCTACTCGTGTTTATGTGAGTTCTCTCTGGGTACTCTCCAGCTTTCTCTCACAGTGGGGATAGGTTAATTGGTCAATCTAAATTGCCCATAGGCGTGAATGCGGGAGTGAGTGTGAGTGCGAATGGCCTTCTGTCTCTGTGTGTTAGCCCTGCAACCTGTCCAGGGTGTACCCCGCCTCTCGCTCTATGACAGCTGGGATAGGCTCCAGCGCCCTCCACAACCCTGAAAAGGATAAACGGAAGCGAATGGATGGATGGGAGAAATATTCAAACAGTTAATAGTTAATACACTATAATTTAGCAGGTATAAGGGTATTTTACGTTTTTATTAGTCAACAGTTAACTTCTCCTGCTGCACTGCTATAATTGTGTTCTTTATAATTTGATTATAAGTTAAATTATAAATAGTGGAATTTAAACTGAAGTAAGCTTTTATTTCAAATTACAGCACTGGGTGGCAGTATAGCCCAGTCTTCAGAGGGATTATTATAAGCGTAAGTCTTTGAGCCCTGCTATAGCTGTCATAGGGATATAATCTTACACATGAAGAGTCGCTTCCGCATGTCCGCTGTAAAGGCATTATCGTATTAGCTACCTTATTAGGTAGGAAAAACATAGGAAATGGTATTGTAGCTAGTAGCATTTTTTTTTAAATGTGCTCTATCATAAACACAAACACCTACATAGTTGGCTTTTCTGGGCTTGAAAAATTAAAGCAGAGAGAGCATTCAGGGTCCAGACAAGTCTGAGGAGGAAAACTGTGAAGACTCATAGTCCAGTTTTCAGAAATTAGTCCTTCATCTGATTCTGGAAAACTGGGACTCTACACCTTCATATATGCACATTTTAACCTGGTAAAACAAGGTGAAGGACACATAAGAGACCAAGACCGCTGAACCACGAACCATTACTTTCTAGTGAAGCTGGCAGTTTAAATAAAATAAAATTTTGACATGAGTAATATACGCACAAATATACACACATATATGTATATACATATATATATAATGTATTAAAAAGAAAACAAAATATAAATAAGATATAGCGAGAAATTAGGTTTACAAAAATCACTCATTAAAACCCAAACATGGTTCTGTCAGTTTGTCAGTCGACACTTGTCTCCTAGCAAACGTCCCATTCTAGAACGTTCCCACAGTTGTCTTGGTGACTGTGCTCAGAATGCAAATGTACCGCTGCAGCGCTTCCATGGCAACCAGAGAGCTGCTTTCAGACTGATGCCTGAGTTTTCAGCGCACCTACTGGAGCCTCATTTCCAGCACTGAGTGTCTGAGGAGGTGTTTGCTGTGTCATGTTTACATCTCACACAATGTGAAAAGGCGCCAGCCCTCGTCCCAGTCCTCCTCCTCTTCCTCCTCCTTCTCCTGCTGATGCTATTTATATACATTGCACGTGCTCACACGTTCAAGATTGATAGAGAAAGCATGGGCCGATCTGAATACAGGAAGTTGCATCATGAGCGGCAGAAAGGTTGCCCTCTTCTGGACTTGGACGGGTACTGTGTGTTTGAGCAGAGGGCCTGCCACAGCTCCTCTCCTCCCCTTGAAGGGCAGACACACACATAGTTTGTGTAATGTGGTTTCGCTGTAAGGACTGGGGAGCCTCCTGCTCTGGAGGAAAGCCTGAGGAAACTTACGTTTCTGATTCCATGAGGAGCAGGAGAATCTGGAGAAGATGAAACAGACTGACAGACTCAGTCTTTCTACACTGGATGGTAGGGTTGTAGATTTGCTACACTAATCTGTAATGAACTGATGTGATTTTCTCTGTTTTGAGACATGTGCGCTCATTTTCTGCTGTGCTTGTGTTCTCATGAGGTCAAAATAAGGTGTGCTACATGTTACATATAAAATCATAACTCTGTCCATTTCAGATCTTCTGCTGTTTTACTTTGGCTCTTTTGAAGCTTTTTAGAGGATATTTTTCTCCTTCTCATCTGTTTTCTTCCTCATTCCAGGATTTTTACACATCCAACATCACTGCTGAGTTCGCCTGATCAGAATTTGTCTCTGAGGTTTTCCAGGCCCTTCCACTGTAAGGTGACACCTCTGCAGGAATACTTCATGATTGTCCTTTCATCAGCTGTCGTCTAAGGCTCTAAGCTGCTTGCATTTACACATGACACACACACGCACGCTTGTGGCAGTGTCAAAACTAGAACTCAGTCACGGCTTAGACGCTCACACCAGACTGAAAGTGCATGCTTCTGAGTTTTGAGTAAGTAAATGGGTTTGCACCTGTAGCCATACCTCGCAGTGATGTCTACTAACCTCAGCCAGAAGTACGACTGTACATCACAGCTGCAAGCTGAGAAGTTAAAACGTGATTCTAAAATATAATAAGTTTGTTTTTGTTTGTGTGTTTGCTTTGGGTAGCATAAGACAGTGTTATCAAATATGCAGTCAGGAATTTGTACTGTGGGGGGAAACAGTTATCTGATCCAATACTAAATTTGTAAGTTTGCTCCCTTGTAATGAAATCATCAGACTCTCGTTTTATGGTAGTTTCAATCTAATAGAGAGAGACAGAATATCAACCAAAAATCCAGAAGAAGGACATTATAAAAAAGTTATAAATTGTTTTAAATGTCATTGATCGAAATAGGTTTTTCATTCCCAAGCAAAACATGACTTTGTACTTTTGCTTGTTAGCAAGGCAAAAGACGTTTCTTGTAGATGGTCACTAGGTTTGCACACATCCTAGAAGGGAATTTGACCCACTCCTCTTTACAGAAACTGTGAAAATTTTCAGGCTGCCCCCCTCAGATTTTTTACAGGGTGAGGTCTAGAAGTCTGGAGATCAGCTATGCTACTCCGTTACCTTGAAGTATTTCTTCTTTAGCCCCTCCTTTGTTGCCATGGTGGCGTGTTTTGGGTAGCTGTCATGGTGAAAGAGCCATCCTATGAGACACCTTCAGGGCTCTGGCTGAAAGAAGGAGGTTCTCATTAGGGGTTGGCGATATAAACGATATACGATAGAAACGATTTGGCCAACGATAGAGATTTGACTATACCGCTCTATCGCGATAGCGCATGTTGATGATGTCATCAAGCATGGCAGTGGCTACAACCATTATCATCTGCAAATTATGCCGAGAGTCATAGCAAAGAGATGAAGCACTTTTGAAATATGGGGAAAGCCAAAAACTGCGCTTCCTCCACTTCCGTAACATTGATTCATTAATGTTGAATTCTCTCGCAGCTGCTCTATGTTGCAGTATATTAATAACTAACCTTGTGTTGTGGATGAATGATCTCAGTTGTTCTCCTGACTGAAGTTTGGCCCGTGTATAGCATCCTGCCATGCGATTGCATTAGTCCCTAACCACCAGAATCCCTCACATTAACTTTTATCGAGTGGAAAAAAGTTGGCGTTCGTCCTCCAGCTTCACTGTGCTAATGTTTTGCCAACATAGCTGTGTTGTTAGCAATCACGTAGCACAACATTATATACCAGGTAGTCCAACTTCAGTAACCCTGCAAACTTCACTGCTGTTTAGTTTTCTGTCTTCATTATTTTGGAAGTGGTAGGTGGAAACTAGCAAACTAACTTCCTGTTAACTTCTAACTCTGTTAAATTTAATAACTTCTGTTTTCATGGATGCCTGGATGTTAAACTTAATTGTTACACCTGGTAAAGCAGCAACGCTGATGATTTTATTAAAGATTAAAGAATTTAGACCATTTTTAACTCTCAGTGTTCGTTTGACTTTGGGACCTGAAGGGCCGGAGTATGGGCTCAAAATGTGGTCATAAATATTTTGTACTTGGAAATCGGTTTTGTATGTCTAAAAATATTTGTGTGTGTGTAAAAAAGATTTGTATGTGCAAAAATAATTTGTGTGTGCATAAAAAAGATTTGTATGTGTAAAAAAGATTTGTGTGTGCGTAAAAAAGATTTGTATATCTAAAAAAAATTTGTGTGTGCGTAAAAAAGATTTGTATGTGTAAAAAAGATTTGTGTGTGGACTTAGCCAAAAAAGACCCTGCAAGTTACAAGTACGAATTTTGACCCTATTTTTCTTCCTTTCATCTGATTGGTCAATGTCATGTCAATCACAAATGTAACAATCCAATCAGAGAACAGATGGGTTAAGCTGTCGGAGGGGCGCTTTTTTTGAACTGCAGGTCTTTGAAGGGTATAAATGCCCTTTTACATGCCAACCCAGCGTTTTCCTTCATCACCACGAAGGAAAACAGTCTGTGGTCATCCGAGTTTGGTGATTTTTGTGTCACAGGTCTACGTGTTTAATACAGGGACTTCCACAGCCTTTTCAACAGCGCTGCAGTGTTTTGGAAATGACAGTCTTCATCACAAAGCTTTCTTTGTTATGAATTAGCATACATGTTTTTATTGAACATTTGAAGAACTAGCAAAAAAAACAGAAACTCTTGTAGAGGACATAAAGTCAGAGATAGAAAAGACAAGGAGCAG